CCTCCTCCTCCTCCTCCTCCTCCTCCTCCTCCTTCTTTTTCACCTATACCTGAACTCAGATCCTGGACTGGGACAGACAGTGGTTGCATAATACACCATTACAAGAAGAATCAACAGTAACAATGTATGATGTATAAGGAGGGCTTACTCTAGCCCAGATGTTGCAATCTGCCCTCTGGATAGTTCAACTCAACTCTGGGATCCTTGAGAAATGCTATGCAGTAGGGGCTGCTATGATTCCCTATTTAGCACACAGGGAAACTGAGTCATGTAACTAGGAACCTGGACTGTAGACTGCAAAACAAAACAAAACAAACAAACAAACAAAAACCACCAGGGGGAAAACCATGGATTCTAGTCTGGCCATTTGCAGAAGCAGGCCCTGGGAATTATTTTATTTCTGGTACATTTCACTGGACATAATGATCCCCAGTTCCATCAATTTTCTAAAAATACTCTCCTCTTTTAATGGTTGAGTAAAATTCCATTGTCTCTGGGTGTGATGGTGCACACCTTTAATCCCAACACTCAAGACACAGACACAGGTAGATCTCTGTAGCTGGAAGTTTTTCTGTGTCCCACCCAGCCATGCCATCCTTCACCTGCATATAAAATAATCATCCAGAAGCTTATATTAATTATAACTGCTGGCCATTAGCTCAAGTTTATTACTGACTAGGTTTTATACTTAAATTAATCCATAATTTTTATTTATGTTAGCCATGTGGCTTGGTACCTGTTCTCGGTTCTGCCTTCACATCTTGCTTCCTCTGTGTCTGGCTGGTGACTCCTGACTCAGCCTTCCTATTCCCAGCATTCTCCTTGTCTACTTATCCTGCCAATACTTCCTTCCTAGCTACTGACCAATCAGTATTTTATTTATCAACCAATCAGAGCAACACATATCCACAGCATACAGAACATCCCATAGTAGATCTCTCCTGAGTTTAAGGCAAGCCTGGTCTATAGAATGAGACCTTGTCTCATTTTTTTTCTTTGTGTGTTTCCTATTATGTATTTTCTTCATCCATTCATCTGTTGATGGATGTCTAGACTGGTTTCATTTCCTGGCTATCGTGAATAGAGCAGCAGTGAACATGGATGCATAAATGTCTGTGTGTTAGGATGTAGAATCCTTGGGGTGTTATAGTGAGGTGACCCAGATTCAGAAAGACAAAAAACATGTTCTCTCTAATATCTAGATCCTATCTTATTTTTATGTGTGTGTGTAAAAGTCATGAGTGTGAAATAGGAAGGAGACCATGAGAAGGAAAAGAGGGGTTAAAATGGGAGGCAGAGCAATAGGACCCATGGGATTTGAAGGTGGACAGGAGGTTATGAGGGTGGAAAGGCATAAGAGAGAGCAAGTTAGGGGGAGAATCTACAAAAACAAATTTTATTTGCAAATGATGTTATGAAATCCAATACTTTTTATAACAGTTGTTTAAAAATTAGGTATTTTTATCTTTTTTTTTTTGAGACAGAGTTTCTCTTTTTATCCATGGCTATCTTGGGGTTCACTATGTAGACCAGGCTGGCTTCAAACTCACAGAGATCCATCCTCTTCTACCTCCCAAGTGCTGGGTTCAAAAGCATGTGCCACCACCATGCCTGGACTTAAAAATAGTTTTTTTAAAAGGCAACAAAGGATTTGTTAAAGTTATGTTCTATGGAGCTCAGCAGTTTAGAGTGATAGTTTCTCTTCCAGAGGACCCAGGTTCAATTCCCAGCACATATGTGGTAGCTCACAACCATCCGTAACTCTAGACCCTCTTCTGGTCTCTGCAGGTACTGCACACATATGGTACAAAGACATGAACGTAGGCAAAAAAAACCCTACCTGTACCCATAACATAAATACATTTTAACGTTTTTTAAAAGGTGTGTTCTATATGGTTCTGAAAATATCTTGAACTAATTTATTAATTTGCTTTCTGTTTTCTTAATTTTGTTGTTTGCTGACTCTAGCTAGCAGGTCTGTAGTCACTGGAGCTCAAAAATTCATCCCTACCTTCAGAGCTTTTCAAAGTACTGAGGGCTAACAAGAAATGAGATTGGTCTTTCTCCTCTGTGTTAACTGGTACCATAGTTTGCACAATTTTGTGTTCCCCAGAGGCACATGTGGAAAAGGCCCCAGGGTGATGCTATTATAGGTGGTAGAGGCTATAGGAAGAAGGCTTAGTGTGAGGTCCTTAGGTCACTGGGGATATAGGACACTAAGGGAAAATAAAGGATAAGATCAAAGTCTAAGCTAGACGTTGGTGGCACACTCAGGAGGCAGAGGCAGGCAGATCTTTGAGTTTGAGACCAGCCTTGTCTACAGAGCAAGTTTCAGGACAGCCAAGGTCACACAGAGAAACCCAGTCTCAAAAAAAAAAAAGTCTAATGACACATGTACTCTAAAATACACCTTGGAGCCCATTCCTTCGTATGACAAATACAAGATGAAAAGAAAAGGCACTGTGGGACCTCAATCCTTCTTTTGTTACATGGGACATAAGCAGTTTTCCTCAGCCACGTGCTGCTACTGGATATGCTCCCTTTCCACAGGCCCAACACAATGAAGCCAATATCACGTTACAACCTCAAAAAACATGAACCTAAGTAAACCTTTATGCTTTGTAAATCCTTTGTCTCAGGTATTTTGGTAAAGTAATGGGAGGTTGACTGAGACATCGAGAAAGCAAAATTCTTTGAATTGTGTGTAGTACTGAAGGATCCAGTATCTGATTTTTCCTTACATCTATCCTCAGCCCTCAGGCAAAGGAGACAAGCAAAACATAAACTCACCCATGTCATTGACAGACGTAAAAGGCAACTGAGGATTCGCAGCCTCACAGGATGAGTGATGCCTTCGGGGATGTGCTCTGTCCAAAGTTGTATGCAGATCA